ATAAGGAGTAAATACGTAGAGTATATATACAATTCCTACAACAGAAAATGAAATAATCTCACTTAACAATGAACAGAGAACTTGAGTATATCACTTTTAAGTAGATGGATCACTTGTAACTGAGCCAACTGGTATATTCCTAGAATCTGCACTTTCAAATGCTGACCTACACTACTTCCTCACTACCTACACAGAGCCAGTTTGAGGATGAATGTATATTTGGGCTAGATCTAGGCTACAGAACCAGCTCAGAGTATGGACAGAGCAGGGCACTTCGCCAAAGCAATTTCCTTTGAGAGCAATGCTGCACTGACACGAAGTAAAAAGAATAATGTTCCTTCGTTCTGCCTAAGGAAAAAGCATAGGCAAACGCACAGTTTAGGGGGACTACCACTGACTACCGTGAATAATCCTACTACGTTCATGAGAAAAATTTTGTGCGTACTTGTTTTCATCTCTCTTGGATATAGCAATAGCAGCAGAAAAATGGATTAGTGCTTGTGTAGTAGTAGATTAGTACTATTTGGATAATGGATTAGTATTAGTTGGAGGTCCAAGGGCTGGAGTAAATCAAAGGAGGTGTGATTGCTAATGTGTATTTTTGTCAAGTGATTAAAAGATTATAAGATTCTGATAGTTGAATAGTCTCAGAACATACTAAAAATCCGTTCAATTATATAATTTTAGTAGATGAACTCTGCTATACGAATTACATTGTCATATCCCAAGCATAATAATTAAGATAAATAATAGTTTAAGGCAAGATTATGAAAATCAAAAATAATGTAAAAACAATCCATGTTGAGCAACATATCAAAAAGATAAATGAAGACAGCTGGTGCTTGCTTTGTAACCTTTCCTTATTGTGCCACGGGTATAGTTCAGTCTGAGTCCAGAAGCCTGAGAACCAGCAAAGCCGATGGCCTTAATCCAAGGCCTGGAGAAGATCAACATTCTGACCTAAACAGGCAGAGTGAAATTTTCTTCTTTCCCTTTGGTTGTACCAGACTTTAATGGACTAGCTGATGCCCACTCACAGTGGGGAGAGTAATTGGCTTTCATCAGTTTATTGACTCATTTTTCCTTTTTTTTT